AGAGAGAGAGGGATAGAAGACAGAGAGAGAGAGAGAGAGAGAGAGAGAGAAATTTTTTTTAATATTTATTTTTCAGTTTTCGGAGGACACACTTATTTATTTTTATGTGATGCTGAGGATCGAACCTAGAGTCCCACACATGCCAGGCGAGCGGGTTACCGCTTGAGCCACATCCCCAGCCCAACAATGCAAACTTAAAAAAAAAAAAAAAACCCAACTTATTTCTTTGAACATTCTTTTGATTTGTTCTTTTCTTTTATATTTATATGTGCTCCCTCATTAAGTCCACTATCGTTTCATGTCTATATTGATTTAAAAAACCTAACCATATGTATTCTGGTATCTATTCTTTGTTGTTCATAAATTATTTCTTTAAGATCTCACTCAGTATTCCATGCCATGTATTGTGCCCAGGGTTTGGGTAGGACTATCATTGCACCTAGAGGTAGGAATGTAAACCAAGTTTGGCCATAGTATTCCATCCCTTTAACCACAAAAAGTGACCCTGCCTGAACCAATCAGAGTTTTCCTAGAACTTTTGGGGGAACTTCTAGGAAAACACTCTCTTAAGGTCTTTGATCATGATACAATAACCACATAGACCTAGAACCACTATCTATGAATGAAATCAATTCAGTCATGTCATGGAGAAAGAACATGTCTTGATGACAATGAGCCCTTAAATCTAGTTCAACTTTTATTTGGCTACATTTGCTAAAATATTGTATTAGATAGGGTTGGCTAAGTTGAGATAAAAAATTGACTCTCAAGACTAAGCAGCTTGCAGTGAGGAAACATATTTCATTCTTATTTAACAGTTTGGCGTGGATGTTAGGTAGGCTGTGGAGCTCTTTCCACATAGTCATTCAAGGATCCAGGCAGATGGCTACTCACTCATGTTCAATACATGATTTCCAAGGTTTCCCTGAATGCTCCTGTTTTATTCCATCAAGGGGGTTAAAAAAAATCGCTGAGAAACACATTATGAATATTTTTAGGAGCCAAGTGAGGAATTGACTCACATGACTTCCACTCACAATACACTGTAGAAAACTTAGTCATATAGCCACATCTTATTTCAAAAGAAGTTGGTAAATGTAGTGTCAATTGTGTGTGTCTACAAAGGAGGAAGTTGATTTTGGTAGAAATGTAGTGGTCTGTACCACTAGATAAAGCCAAATCAGCAAAGAAGCTGAATACCAGACTATATCATGTCGACTCCCAGAAAAACTGTTTTTATTGAATTAAAAACCTTAGAGGATACCATTGCTCATTATTCTGTGCTATTATACCACATAGTCTAGAATAAAATTATCAAATTTTTTCAAAGGATGTTATCAAGGATACTTGTTCACTACATTATACAGTGTTTATTTATAAAAACCACAGAATAAAATCACATCAGATAGGAGTACTAAAGATATTAAAAAATAAGTATCATTTTTTTCTTTTATACTACAAGTAGTTATTTAGATAACTGATCTCATAGCCATTGTGAAGTTCTAGTCTAAAGGTTTTCCTTTTTGAATTGAGTTCTGAATTGCATCTGCAACCTCACTTAGAAAATGTACAGGTAGGGACTGGGGTTGTGGCTCAGTGATACAGAGCTTTCCTCACATGTGTGAGGCACTGGGTTCGATCCTCAGTACTACATAAAAATAAATAAACAGAATAATGCTGTGTCCATCTACAACTAAAAAATTTTTTTTTTAAAAAGAAAATGTACAAGTAATTAGAGTTTTTAATCAGTCTCATGTCTGACTATTTTCTCCTACTCGAATTTTACTTTCCCCTTTCACTGTAATTTTATTGCTCTTTGAGTTCTCAATGTCATGTATCTTTTGAAAAAGGAAGAGAATGATATTATAACATAAGTTCTTTTTCCCCTGTTAGTGGGTATTGAACACAGTGCCTCATGCATACTAAATGTTATAACACAGTTTTATTGTGCCACAACTTTCTTTCTCTACACAAACTTAAATTTCTGTAATACATATATTTTTCTATGCTTTACAAATCTAAATTCTTCACCTTACTGCTTGTATATATACTGAATGCCTAAGTCAAATACTGTACTATTATATATAGGCTCAGTTATTTATACTCTGGTTCATTAATCCAAATATTTTTTTTCCACTATGACTCACATCTTACAACCTAATGGTTTCACATTCCTGGAGGAATGTCAAGACATGCTATGGCACAATTTTAAACACAACAGCATCAAATTTGTCTCTTCAGCTATTACTGTTCCAGGACATACTAGTGGTCTCAATAGTCAAATACTTAAGAACACAGATTGACTGAAATGTTAGTATAACAGTGAAAATGCTGTATGCTATAATACCACCAGGAAAAAAAAATAAAGGACCCAGAACTGGGAAGTAAAGACAAGTAGGAAATTTTCTGTAAAGATACCTACCAAAGAAGGAGTTAGGCAGGCAAAGAAAGGTGATAATAGAGATCAGAAGAATAATTCCAGAAAAAGAGGAAAAACGGGTTTTATACAGGAAGGATGGTGAGAATCTTGTTGAGCACATGAATACACATTAATCTGTATATGTCATTTTTTTGGGTGTCACTAAAGGTGAGCTAATTCATATGATAGCGTTTTTTTATTAGATAAAAAGAACCAACTCCCTTATAAAGCACAGATTCTCAGTCTGACCATTTTAATAAAAAAACCTTTTAAAAAACTTTAGGGCTTTTTTTTTTATTCCTTATTAAACTAAATACTCTCATGTTCTCACTTTGTCTCTGGCTCTCACACTCATGAATAAAGCAAGGTTGTACTTTAACAAAAAAGACTACTGCAATTGATGCCAGGGCCTGTGCATACTAGGCAAGGGTTCTACTATTGAGCTCTATCCACTGCTCACAGGTGGCTTGTTGACTTTAAATGATTCTACGACAATATAATAATGTAATTATTACTGTTAAAGAGTGTTACTACTTCTAACTATTATCAGTTGTTTTGTTTTATTGTTATTTTGGTGCCAGAGATTTAATTCAGGGAGGCTTAATAACTGAGATATACCCACAGCCCTTTTTCTTTTTTATTTTGAGCCAAGGCCACAAGATGTTTCTTAAATTGCTTAGGGGGTCACTAGGTTGTTGAGGCTGGCTTTGAACTTGCAATTCTCCTGCATCAGCCTCTGGAGCCACTGGGATTATAGGTGTGTACCACTTCACCCAGCTCAGTCCTTCTTCAATGTGTAAAAACTTAGGGAAATAAATCTGTAGAGAAAGGAATGTTATTTAAGATTGTTAAATTCCTACCAAAACTTATATACTATACCAAGTCAGTATTTATGCTTTGGGGATAGTTTTATTCTGTACAAGTTTCAATATACATAAATTCTGTAATTCATTTTCTTTACCAAGTGAGTTTGCTGGGGTTTGTTTTGACCAATTCCCGGTTAAGTTTTCCTGATTTCTCTGTCATAAGTCTTTGAAACTATCATTTGGGTACAATGGAATGGAAAGAATCAATAAGCACAGTATTCAGATTTAGACTTTGACACTCTCTCTAAATGAGGTCCACCCTCCATCATAATCTTCTTTCTTTTTCCCTGTGGTGCTGGGGATCAAAACTCAGCAAGGTAAGGGGACTACCACTAAGCTACAACCCTAGTTCCTCCGTTATAATTTTTTCTGTGCTAAGTTTGATTTATATTATTCCATTTCACAAGCATTAGAATGGCTACCATAAAAAAAAAATGTGTGTGCACAAGCATGCCCATGCGTGCACATATACACACCCCAGGAAATAACAAGCTTTGGCAAGGATGTAGAAAAACTAAAACCCTTGTTCACTGTTGGTAGGTATTAAAATAGTACAGATGTTGAGAAAAACAATATGGAGATTCCTCAAAAAATGAAAAACAGAATTACCATATGATCCAGATATTCCTCTTCTGGTTATATAACGAAAAGAATCAAAAGGAAGTTTAAAAGAGACATTTGTACATACATATACACCGTAGAATTATTCATAATAGCCAACATTCCAATTGTTCATCATCAGCTGAATCAATAAACAAAACATGGTACATACATAGAACAAAATATTATTCAGCTTTAAATAGGAAGGAAATGTTGACACTTGGTATAACATGGATGAAGATTGAGAACATTATGCCAAGTAAAATAAGTCAGTCACAAAAAGACAAATACTGTATGAATTCACTTATAAGAAGTTCTTAGAGTAATAAAATTCATAAAGACAGAAAGCAGCATGGAAGGTAATAGGGGAAATAAAGAGTTGTTTATAGTTTCAGCTTGCAAGAGAAAAACAGATTGGGACACTACTGTTTCAAAACAGTGTGATTAAATTTAACACAGATATAGACTTGGGAATGATTAAAGTAGTAAATTTTATATTGCATATATTTTAATACAAATAAACTTATAAATACTAGAATAGTTAGCCATTAAGACAAGCTCTTAAAAACCAAGAGATGGAAACATACTCCAGTCATTTATTTAAAGACATTATGCAACAGGTTAAAAAATACCTTCAAAAAATGTTTTAGAACTTTACAAAAGTGATAGCTGCATAACAACATGTACTGAATGGCACTGCAATATACACTTTAAAATGATTAATTTTATTTCATGTGAATTTTACCTCAATTAACAAAAAATGTTCTCATATACACTTGACTTTTAAAGATGATGAGGACAAGTGATAAAAGCATGAAGAGCTGTGGCTAGTTATGGCTAAAGACACTGCAATGAAACCTCATGTAAGCCTGACATAGGAAGGAATAAAAAATAGTAAAGAAACAGATGTAAGAAAAGTATTTTATGGTAACAGGGTGACATGAGTTTATGTAGGCTGATTTACCTTTTCACCACCAACAACTAAAGGTTTTTAGTTAATCACAAACTTGTGATTCTAGGCTCCTCTGACTTAGTAAACATCTCAATCAATCAGGGCTATAGGAGTCACTGAACACCAGGAATTTGTCATGACAGAGAGGCTCAGTCATATCCACCCAGCTTAGATCTTTCATCTCGTGCATATCTTTTGCATTGCTTGTTGGCTGTTTTAAAAGAAAACCAAAGTTGAAGTGGCTGTGGTCATTTCTCAGCAGTTTTGTTTTTTCTTGTCCTTGAACCTGTACTTTTCTTATAGCCTAGTTCAGTTTAAGGGTGATATAGCAAAAATCATTTTCTTTTTCTTTTTTTTATTTCACTGATTTATTTTTATGTGGTGCTGAGGATCAAACCCAGGATCTCAAACAGGCAAGGCTAGCACTCTACCACGAAACCACAACCCCAGCCCCAAGGTTTAGTCTTTCTTTAAAAGTACTATTACTTTATTCACATTTCACATGCACCAGGATATCTTTTGCTGTGGTGAATAAAGTTTTATTTTTTATTAAATGCTTTTCCACATTATTCACTTTTGTACAGCTATTCTCCAGTGTGAGTTCTGTTGTGGTGAATAGGCCTGTTTTATTGCTAAAAGCTTTGCCACATTCCTTATATTTGTAAGGTTTCTCTCCAGTGTAAATTTTCCTGTGAATGCTTTGCCACATTCTTTACATTTGTAAGGCTTCTCTCTAGTGTTGAGTTCTCCTGTGGCAAATAAAGGATGTTTTTTGAGTAAAAGCTTTGCCACATTCTTTACATTTGTAGGGCTTCTCTCCATTGAGTTCTGCTATTGTGAAGAAGGTCTATTTTTTGACCAAAAGCTTTGCAATATTCTTTACATTTGTAGAGCATCTCGCCACTGTGATTTCTCCTGTGGTGAATAAGGTTTGAAATGTCAACAAAAGCTTTGCCACATTCTGTACATTTGTAGAGCTTCTCTCCAGTTTGAGTTTTTCTGTGGCAAATAAGGATTGATTTTTCACCAAAAGCTTTGCCACATTCTTTACATTTGTAGGGCTTCTATCCAGTGTGAGTTCTGCTGTGGCGAATAAAGTGTGATTTATAACCAAAAGCTTTGCCACAATCTTTACATTTGTAGGGCTTCTCTCCAGTGTGAGTTCTCCTGTGGCAAATAAGGTTTGATATTTGACTAAAAGCTTTTCCACATTCTTTACATTTGTAAGGCTTTTCTCCAGTGTGAGTTCTGATGTGGCAAGCAAGATATGATTTTCGACAAAAAGCTTTGCCACATTGTGTACATTTGTAGGGCTTCTCTTCAGTGTGAGTTCTCCTGTGGCAAATAAGGTATGATTTTTGACCAAAAGCTTTGCCACAATCTTTACATTTGTAGGGCTTCTCTCCAGTGTGAATTCTCCTGTGGCAAATCAGGTTTGATATTTGACCAAAAGCTTTGCCACAATCTTTACATTTGTAAGGCTTCTCTCCAGTGTGAGTTCTGATGTGGCAAGTAAGGTATGATTTTCGACAAAAAGCTTTGCCACATTGTGTACATTTGTAGGGCTTCTCTCCAGTGTGAGTTCTCCTGTGGCAAATAAGGTCTGATTTTCGACCAAAAGCTTTGCCACAATCTTTACATTTGTAGGGCTTCTCTCCAGTGTGAATTCTGCTGTGGCGAATAAGGTGTGATTGTTGACCAAAAGCTTTTCCACATTCTTTACATTTGTAGGGCTTCTCTCCAGTGTGATTTCTACTGTGGCAAATAAGGTCTGATTTTCGACCAAAAGCTTTGCCACAATCTTTACATTTGTAGGGCTTCTCTCCAGTGTGAATTACTCTGTGGCGAATAAGGAGTGATTTTTGACCAAAAGCTTTTCCACATTCTTTACATTTGTAGGGCTTCTCTCCAGTGTGAGTTCTGCTGTGGTAAATAAGGTCTAATTTTTGACCAAAAGCTTTGCCACAATCTTTACATTTGTAGGGCTTCTCTCCAGCATGAATTCTCCTGTGGCAAATAAGGTGTGATTTGTAACCAAAAGATTTGCCACATTCTTTACATTTGTAAGGCTTCTCTCCAGTGTGAATTTTGATGTGGAAAATAAGGTGTGATTTTTGACTGAAAGCTTTGCCACATTCTGTACATTTGTAGGGCTTCTCTCCAGTGTGAGTTCTGATGTGGCAAATAAGGTGTGATTTTTGACCAAAGGCTTTGCCACAATCTTCACATTCGTAGGGCTTCTCTCTAGTGTGAGTTTTGCTGTGGCAAATTAGGAGTGATTTTAGACTGAAAGCTGTGCCACCATCTTTACATTTGTAGGACTTCTCTCCAGTGTGAGTTCTGCTGTGGCGAATAAGGTGTGATTTTCGACCAAAAGCTTTGCCACAATCTTTACATTTGTAGGGCTTCTCTCCAGTGTGAGTTCTGCTGTGGTAAATAAGGTGTGATTTTTGGCCAAAAGCTTTGCCACAATCTTTACATTTGTAGGGCTTCTCTCCAGTGTGCGTTCTGCTATGGCGAATAAGGTTTGATTTTTGACCAAAAGCGTTTCCACATTCTTTACATGTGTAGGGCTTCTCTCCATTGTGTGTTCCTTTGTGGTAAATAAGACCTTTTTTTTTACTAAAAGCTTTGCAACATTCTTTATATTCGTAGGGCTTCTCTCCAGTATAAATTCTCTGGTGATTAACAAGGCCTGATTTTTTATATGATTTATGTTGTTCACTCTCACTTGTAGTTTTCCATATTTTCTTTTGTGGTAAATAGTCAAGATCACAACTTTCATATTTTACACTTATCACTTCATGAAATATATGTTTTAGGCCCTTTTCTGGTGAATATTCTTGGATATGATTAGGAGTCATGGCCAGGAAAGCCAAGTTTCTATAGTTCTCTAGCATCACATCTCTATATAAATTTTTCTGAGCAGGCTGAAGGCATTCCCACTCCTCTTCAGTAAAATCAATGGCTATATCCATAAATGTTAACAGTTCCATTTCCTGGCTCTCAGGGTTCTCAGCGTTCTCCCGGTGGTTTGTTTTCAGATTCTGCATAGCACAGCAGACACTTGGGCTCCGGATCCAGGACAGAAACCTACAAAAAGCGCAAAAATCATTTTCTAAAGCTCTGAAAGCATTCATGATGGTCTAAGTACAGGGTGTATGGGGATAGGCTACTATTGGTTGTGAGGTTGAAGTGATAGTGGAATCAGATACTGGAAAGCCCAAGTATACCCAGACTAAGACCATGGGCTTCTTCCCTGAGATAATAGAAAGTCTCTGACAGATTTAGTAAAGCAAGAAGATAACAGGTCAAAAAAAATGGTTTAAAAATAGCTGGCGTCAGATGTGGTGGTGCATGCCTATAATTCCAGCAATACAGGAAGATGAGGCAGGAGGACTGCAAGTTCAAAGCCAGCCTCAGCATCTAAGCAAGGCCCTAAGCAAATGTGTGTGACCCTGTTTCTAAACAAAAACTTTAAAAAAGGGCTGGGAATATGGCCCAGTGCTTAAGAAACCCTGGATTCAATCCCTGGTACCAAAAAAACCCAAAACAGTGAGCTGGGTGGCAATGTTGAGGATAAATTAGAAGAGAGATTACCACAATATTCCCGAGAGAAATTTATAAAATGTAATGTTTTAAACTTAGGAATCAAATGGATATAAGCTTTGAGACACGGTACTAGGTGCTTTCCTTACGTTATTGTTTTTTTAATCATCACTTCAAAGTTTATTGTTCTCATTTGATAGATGAGAAAATGAGGACTGATCCAAATAAACTTGGTTCTAGGTCAGACAATTGGCTGGTAGGAAAACTGGAATTTTAATGTTGGCCTCTACAACTCAAATCTTGTGCATGTACATTTTGTACTATCTGTGGTGTCAACCAATATACAACCAAAAGAGTTTATATAAGAAATATATAAGTTTGGCTATACTAAATACTTCTTTTCAACAGCACTTTTAGCCTTGATGGAGGATAAAAATCTGTATTATTCCTTAAATAGTTTTAGCATTGATAGAGATGCTCAATTATATGGACTAAAAAAAGCTTTAACCTGGAAGTGTTTTTTAAAAAATAGCCTTTAAAAAATTATTTTAGTTGTAGTTGGACACAATACCTTTATTTTATTTATTTATTATTTATTATTTTTTTTTATGTGGTGCTGAGGGATGAACCCAGTGCCTCACACGTGCTAGGTGAGCAATCTACCACTGAGTCACAACTCCATCCCTAAAAAATAGCTTTCTTAATAGAGGTGATTCTTTGTGACAAATAAGATTGGGCTTATAAATAGTTACTATATTCTCCTGTAAACTATAACATTTTTAATACAAGGTTACATGAATATATTGACTCACATAATATGTAATTAGAGGCTATGAACCAAAGGGATATATTTGATCTTTAAAATTGCCAAATTAAAATTCTTTCTATATGCTACAAAGAATATAAAACTTTGATATAAATTTTAAATATGCAAATTAATTTTGGATACTAAAATATATTGATTTTCTAAAATATGCCCTGCCTATAACAGAGATATGATGGGGACAGGTAGTTTTACCTTGTATGTTTGTGTCAAAAATAACTGAGACAAACCAAATCCTGAAAAGGTGGACCTCATGGAAAATGGTCTTCTGCCACCACTCCCCTCTCCAATCACTCTGAACCTTGGTGTTTGTATGGTCTTAAAGGTATGTTTATACTATCTGACTGCTTCTAGATGAATAACATCTAAATGACAGAGAATAATGACCATTTCTGTCCTAAAGTGTCTTTGAGAAAAATACCCACAAAGGTTATAAGCTGAACTGTTACTTGGGTGTCTGTCCTAAAAACAACTTTGCTGAGATTGGAAAATCTCATCAGGTATGATGGCTTGAAGAAAGGTAACTGAGGGAGAACTGTTGACAACACTAACCTCTTATTTAAAATCTTTAAACATTTCCATAACCCCTATTCATAGGTAAATTCATTTATCCAACAAGAATTTTCATTTTACAACTCTAATGTTTCATGCTTTACTTCATATAAAAACAAAAATCATACATGTCTTTGAAACAAGGTTTTCTATTTTAAACTCAATCTCCATTTTAAAAAGTTTAGTCAGAGAAAGCACAAACAGAAAGATACAAAAGTAATCTGACAACTGGGTTATTTGGCAAAAAAACCAATGAGTATTTATCTGTTTTATCCTTGATTTAAAATGGATAAACAAATATATTTCCTCAGTAAAAACCACCCAAGCATAACCTTGAAACTCTTTGAATTATTAAAAAAAATAGCCAAGGGAATGAGTTCTTAAACTCAGCTCCAACACATATTAGAATTTGAAAAAATACTGCTAACTAGCTCTTCTTCAGAGACAAAGTTAAATTTGTGATATGGAAGAGAAATGGTTTCATTCATCAATTATTAGGGAATTTTGAAAGGGAAATTGTAAAAAGAAACAAATACAACTGATCTTTTTTCACTTCATATTTAATAATCTGCTCTGGAAATAAAGTTACTTTATTCTTTTATTATATCAACCATGAAAATAAGGACTATAAAATCCTGAATAAATGGCTAGAAAAGCTTTTCTCTCCTGATAGGACAGTAAAATATCTTTACATAAACGTCACTTAAGCTAACTACAGGCACACATGGCATCACCAAAACACCCCATTTTATTCTTTTTTACTTTTCCTAACCTTAATATCTCAGTGAAACCTACTAGTATATTATTCTGGAAATCGTTGAGTTGATTCTTTTTTATTTGTGGGCTCTGGCAGGTTATAATCATACCTGACAAAGACAAGATTCTCATCACAATTTAAACATCATGAAATGTCGGTGCTGGGGGGAACAAAAGAAGAAAATAGTTGTTACAGCACTGAGGTCCAGTGTACACCTAAAACAAACAACAGTTCAGAAATTGCTGAGATCAACCTTCACCTGAAATGCCTTAAAGGTCTCTACAAATAGCTAAGATTACCCTGGCATACCTTGACACCAGCTAAACTGACAAGCAAATGCTGAATGAACTTAAGATAACTTAAGATAACTGCACAGGCAATTGGTTAAGAGCACAGGCTCTGGACCCAGACCACCTGGCTTTGAAATATACCAGCTGAAATTCTTTAGTATCACCTAAATTTCCTGTGATCCAGATTCCTTATTAATAAAATAGGGAAAATAAGGTAAAATATGATCATGGGATACTACTATATGTAAAGTGCTAATAATAGCGCTTAGGAAACACTACATGTATTAGCTCTAAAATTTTAGTTTGTAATAATGTCTTGATATGGCGGGTGAGTGGCAAGACCAGGTTTTGATTATAGAGTGTAAGATTATGTTTAATACCTAGTAGGTCTGCTGCAGAAGGGGAATAGAAGGGCCCTGATGCTCTTAAAAGTTCAGATTTGTCTCAGCCCCCTGTGTAACAGCATAATGATGCCTGGCAAGCTCTAGTGACTTCTGGATCAAAAGATCCAGAAAACCAGTAGAAAGAAAGGTCAAAGGAGAAATAAATGTAGTGGGGGAAAGAGGTTGGAAACAGATATGATCTGGGCTGAGCATCTGGGCAGAACAATTACCTCACAATCATGGGGGTCTCTTCTTTATTTGGGGTGTAATTAAAGCACAATTACACCCCAGAGCAGTGAACACTATCATGTAGTCTACCTTAGATCTATAAAGCAATGAGTAAGTATGGATGGGTTATTTGCCAGGCATGCTAAAGTGATGGTTATTATCTCCCGTTGATCCTACTCCTTTCTTCTTACCTATTTCTCCAATTTGGAGTGGGAATGACTACCCTAAGTTAGCCCCACCGTTGTTGATTCATCTAGCATAAGACAGAACATTGCAATACTCCTATATAACTGCACCCCTTTACCTCTTAAACTATCCTCTCTCCACATCCCTTTTCCATATCCTTTTCCACATCATTACTAGATCCTTCCCAGGGTCTAGTAACAATCTTCTACTTTCCACTTCTAGGAAATCAATTTTTAGCTTTCACATATGAGAACATGGGGTAGTTGTCTTTCTGTGCCTGACTTATTCTACTTAACATAATGCCCTTCTGCTCCTTCCATGTTGTTGCAAAAGATAGAATTTCATTCTTTTTTTCACAACTGAATGATATTCTACTGTGGGAGGGGGAGGGAGAGGGAGAAAGAAACATTTTTTGAAAGACGTAGAAATGGCAATAGGCATAGGAAAAAACGTTTAGCATCACTAATAATCAGGGAAATATAAACTTAAGACACTGATATCACCCTATACCTATTAGAATGGCTTTTTAAGAAAGAATTGGTTTTAGTTGGACACAAAATGTCTATTTATTTTTATGTGGTGCTGAGGATCGAACCCAGTGCCTCACACATGTGAGGCAGAGCTTTTATTATTAAAAAAAACCAAAAACCAAAAAACAATAAATGTTGATAAGGAGGTAGGGAAAAGAAAACCCTTGTATACTGTAGGTGGGAGAGCATATTAGTATAGCCACTATAGAAAAAAGTATGAAGGTTCTTTGAAAAACTAGAAATAGAACTCTCCTATAATCCAAAAATCCCACTATTTATAGCCAAATGAAATGAAATCAGTATGTGCCAAGACACGCAACTGTCATTCAGGGTCACTCCAGGTGAATTTGGGTTGGCACAAAATAACTACACTGAGACACAGGAAATAGCTTTTTCTTGGGATTCCTCTGCTCCAGATCCCACAAGGGAGGCAGAAAAAAGAGGAGGATGACATTCTGAAGCCCCTTTCTTTTTTAATACCTGTATTTTATTTATTTATTTTCACGTGATGCTGAGGATTGAACCCAGGGCCTTCACATGTGCTAGACAAGCACTGTACCGCTGAGCCACAACCCCAGTCCCTCTCAAGCCCCTTTCTATTGAGGGGAAGAAACTCAAGAAAGTTCCACCCCAATGAGGAGGGTCAGGTTTCAGGGGGGTTGAGTCTAGCTTCCTGAGGTCTTGTGGTCAGGAGACTGACTGACATCTTGGAAGGACACACCCATCTCAGGTGCTGTGTGGGGATCACAGGCAGAGTGGTCGAAAAGCATAGGTCGCCAGCCCAAACAGAGAGGC